GGGGGGGGGGGCTGATCAATTTCTTACATAGCGGTGGTTTAGTTTTTGATCGAATACCATAGACCATTAAAATAATTTTTAAATTTTATTAAAATTTCGGGGGGGCTGCAGCCCCCTCAGCCTCCCCCCTGGCTACGCCACTGTGATAATGACATACGTGTTTTAGATAAAAATTACTAATTACTTTCTAATGAAATCAATTTATTTTCCATCTCGTGGAAACTGGTATTCAATATTCCATAACAGTGTTTAATACTTTTAACATCACAACCGATGGTCATGAATTCACTGTCAATTTTTTCCATCAACGATTGTTGGTAATTTGACAATTTGGTGTCTACCTTGTTGTTTAAATCTTGCACTGTAGATAGGGGCAATTCACTCTCGGTCTGAGTGTGTGGAGATTGTGTCAACTTCGATAACATAAGATCTTCAAGTTGACGCAACTGCAGAATACAAAATAAAATAATTCTTTACTTAGATTATAAATTAATTTAGCCTAGGTCAAGTCTATGATCATTTTTAATTGAGTTAAGAGAACGTATAGGTACCACGTGTATTGTCTTCATCTTCCAAGTGCGTAACATAGACTGCAGTTGTACGCTTAGCAGATCACGTTTAGGTCTGGGATATTGGAAATTAAAGTGAAAAAAAAACTAAAGCTAAGATAGTAATCTTAGCTTTAGTTTTTTATGATCTAGAGCATCTCATCCTCATGGACTTCTTATTATATTTTAATTTTAATGTGAGTTATGACTATTTTAAAATTGTATATTGTTTGTATATCATAAATACTCATATCCTGGTTTAAAATTAAAATATAATAAAAAGCCTATGCTATATCCTAGATAATAATCTAATATGCAAATTGTATAAGAGGTCAATTCATTCTACTGTTTAAGCTAGCGAAGCTTTACTAGTAACTTACAGTTACCTTACTGCTGAATGTAACATTTACTGGGTATATATTATGCACATGTAAAAAAATAAACAAGACTTTGTTACACTTGTAACCACACATGAGGGTATACTAATGTAGTAATGTGTATAACTTCCTCATAAATTGATAGAAAAAATTTTAAGAAATTTTAAGTTAATTATAGTTATGGTTTTTTTTTAAATCAGGTAAGTTATAAGTTTATGGAAAATTAAAATTAATTTATTAACTTCAGTAAGTTATATAAAAAAATATACATAGGAAGAAGGCCTGCAACCTTAACATGTCTTAAAATAATAAAAATAATAAATATTATTGACAATATTGGCTGTTTATTAACTTAAACATTGGACAACCCAATTCTGTTCATCTTTTAATTTAAAAACTTAAAATGGTTACAACTTATTGATGTCCTTTTATACCAATATGAAGAAAATATTTTATAATATTATGTGCTTAAGAATCGTACATTTGTACCTACCTATATATCATGTTAGTATTTATTTTTATAAACATGCAATATTATGCATCATTAAAAATATTATTATTAAAGTATGCCCATATGCCGTGTTATGGTGTGGTATGGTATATATATGTATTTAATTCAGTTATTTTTATAGGGAAATTATTCTGATTAACGGAACAAGAATTCAATTAAATTTTTAATTCCTATAATTTTAGTAAAATGTAATATTTATGCGATCTGCATTATCAATAATCATTGCGACATTGCTACATTATATTTATATTTAATTATTTATAAATTAATGTAACTTGGATTTTATCAAAAGTAACTTCTTATTTATTCAGTTTATATCAATTAGAATTAGTTAGGTAAGTAAAAAATTAAGTAAATGAAAATTTTATTTGAAATAGATGTCAGCGTTTTTTTTTTAATGTTTAACTACGCTCTGCTGTAGGTACATTATGGGCTATAGGTGTCTAGGGAGTCGCTGTAATGGGGTGTTAAATTTGAATTCGATGACATAAATGCATTGTATACGAAATACGATTCTGAAATAACACGGTCTCTGACATCCTATAATAACACTAAGTAGGTATATTTTGTAATATTGTGATTGAAGTAATTTTACTGTATAATAATAGGCATTATACTATAACAGTACTAAAGTAGATTAAATTCATTTTTGTCTAAAAAATTTAATTCAAAAATGTCATTAGGTATATAAAATAAAAAATATGCCAATTTTAAGTTTCAAGTACCCACGAATAATATTTTTAAATTACAATTTACAACAAAATAACTAAACAATATTTATACCAAAGTAAGCCAATTTTGCATTTATGATTTATATTTACTGAACAATTTCAAACAATAATGTATCGTTACTTATTTTTTTTTAGTTTTTATGAAATAGGTTTGCTAGGGAAGGCGTTTGAGGGTATGGGGACGTAGCCCCCACGGATCTGCGTCCTCTGCATAATCTTAGCACCCCCAGTGTTTGGTCAATAGTTGCACCTATGACGTACGCTCGGAGTGTTGCCGCAGATTGAGCGAACGACAGCGCCTCACCAAGCCACTTATCAGTTTTTTATAATCGGCTTATGCCGCTTAAACTTTAATTTATAACTGGCACAAATTTTGGTCTCAAAAAATGTGCTGTTAGAATTTGTATAAGTTTTTTTCTGACTTCCACTTTGTACATTCAATTTTTAAATTCTCCAATAGATTGTATATTCGTAAAAATTCTTTAGAATTACGTTCATACGAAGTGGACGGCTGTTAAAAGTCCGTCAATGCCTACAGTCCGAACCTGGGTCCGACTACTCGGTGGAGTCAACGGCGTGGAGTAACATACAAATCTATTAGAATTTATTATTTGAATGCTCATCTGTGTTAATGTTTATTGCGTTTAATGACTCATCATTATTGTTTCAGTTATTTTCAATCATAAATCTTTAAAACAACCAATCGCGATTATAACTTGGGACTTGGTGCCATATTATGTAACTAGTCTCAAAACAATTTTCGTTACATATTTGTCCTAGTAATTTTACCGACCATTGCTTTGTACTTTCAATTTTTAAATTCTTAGGAACTACATTACTGATTGTTTATTTGTGAGGGATGCTTATTATTTTCTGAACCTTCGTCTATGACATATCGTGTCAATATAAAATCCTTACACACAATCCTTGGCACTTATATTTCCCTAATATCCTCTCGTAAATCGATGATTTGTATTTATTTAGATACTATGGATACTTCATGAAATATACTTCAAATCGTTATAAAATTATCGTTCTAATATTTAGTATACCACGTATGAAGCCATGTAGGGCATACTCATAATATGAGATTTCTAAAGATTATTGAATTACCCGAAATAGCAAATAGGAGAAAATAATAATTATAATATGGGTATTTCCATCCATTCTGAAGTAAAAAATACTAAAAATATATTTTGATTAATATTATAGATAGGTAATATGTAAATTATAAGTTACTTTTAGATCTTGAATCTTTTGTTTTTCATCACCGCGTCGAATCATTTCTACATAATAATGATTATTTTAGATACATATTTGTTTAATATTCGAAAATATTAATATTAGATAGGTATCCGTCATATTATTATGAAACAACTACCTTCCAACTCGGTCAATCTATTTTCCAATTGCAGATTTATTTTTATCACTTTTTGAAACTGTTCAATGTCAATACTACCGGATACAGCTGCCGGGTCTAAATTGACTAGAACACTTGCGTTGATAGATTTCTCACTCACACTTACCTAAAGCATAAGAATAAATAATAATCACATATTATTTTATGGTACCAACGACCTACATCGAATAGATGCATCTTTCGACCCTATATTATTATTATTAAGACATTTTACCAATTTCTTTGGCATGTTCTTCCGTGCGTCGTGAAACGATTCAATCAGATGTCTCATGTTTAAAAATGCTAACATCCCGACAAAACTAACACGTAAGACTCCTTTGACTAAACAATTAAACTCATAAGTCATAATATTCGCAATGCAAATGCTTATAAAGTCAGAACTGAATATAATAACACTCAAGTAAACTAAATTGCATATTTACACATTGTGTACAGGTATAGAATACGTTGTTAGGTTTTCTTATTCAAGCCAGGAGACAAATAGTATAATTATTTTTAATCTCCTGAAAGTAAAAAATTATACTGTACATGTGCCTTTCTAGATATATCTCAGGCTTTTGACAGGGTTTGGCACGACGGGCTCTTAAGCAAATTGAAGAAATTTTTACATCCGGTCTTCTTTCTAATCATCAAGTCTTATATCTCTGACAGATACTTCAGCACTCGTATCGGTGACACCCTTTCATCCATAGCCAAAATCTCAGCGGGTGTCCGCCAAAGGAGCATTCTTTCACCTTTGCTCTACAATATATATGCCTCAGACCATCCTATCACACCCCACACTCAAGTCGCTGACTATGCTGATGATAAGGTAATTATTTCCACAACTCCTGATCTCATCACAGCTTCTAGCTACCTACAAAATCATCTATCTCTCATGGAAGGCTGGTACACTAAATGGAGGTTAAAAATAAATCAAACAAAATCTGTGCATACTACGTTCACTCTTAGAATCTTACCTTGCCCTTCTGTCTCCAACTTTGGCTCCCAAATTTCCAATTCTCAAACGGTTAAATACCTCGGTCTAATCCTAGATTGTAACTATAGGGCTCATCATATAAAATCTAAGCGTCTATGTTGCGCTAACGGACCTTACTGAGGCGTACGTCAGTCGCTTAGTCCTCCGGACCGTTGTGAGAAGGATATTATACTAAGATAAATAGATACAACTATATAGGTGACATAAACAAGAAAATATTCACATGGCGCGTATTATGCAATGCACCATAACCTATATTATATCACAAATACAATATTGATTATACACATATGAAAGGTCGATACAAAAGTAAAGGGGAGCCGGGGATCACCGCTCTGCACACCGGAGCTGGATTCTGAATGAAGGTTGATCTGCCGAGCTGAGCTGCTACGAACCGGAGCTGGAACAACCACGTGGAGCACACGTACTACCGCAATATTAAGGTTGCGATCACGAGAGCGACGTTAGCGAACTGCTGTATCATATGATGACAAATGCTCCACAGCAAGTTCTTGTGTACGAATGAACACGGAGCGTTGGAGCGGAAGCTGAGCACAGGGAGCGTATGTGACACAGTAAATAAAATGGCGATCACCAAGAGCGTGAAAAGAATACGTGAGCACGTATACGATGTACGACAGCACGAGCGATGGAGAGCTCCAGAACAAAAACGTCCGTAAAAACACGTTAACGGCGTCGTAAGCGTCGTTGCCCGGAGCAGGGTGGCAGGCGAATCAGTGTCGCCACCATTGCGAGTGACCGAGCATGGTCACCGATCAAATGTTCAAAACCCGGGGACGATTTGTACGTGCAAAAAGGTCGAACATACTCCCCATTGCAAGTTACCGCTTACTTGCAACAGAACAGTTCGATTAAGACTTGCTTAAGGAGATGTAGCAGTCGAGCAGACTATCAGAGCTGATGACCGGAACAGATGAGCAGAGCGAAGTTGAACGGAGCAGTTGAGCAGAGCGATGTCCGTGGATTAACAACGGTGCAACATTGGTCGATGACCATTACAATATCAATAGAGCAATAAAATTAATAAAGAAATATATTAGTATAACATAACTAAATAAATTTGTTTGAGCATGAGCATAATAGGAACTATCGTTAGTAACATTATTTTTTTTTTATATATTGACAATACATAAATAATATATCCTGAATGCATGCATAATAGAGGAACAAAGTAAAATTATCACAAGGTTTACCATCAGTCTCAATATTTATAAACAGAATAAACAATATACTTAATATTAACAATTAAAATACTCACAGCTTGAGTTTGTAAAAAAGATATTCTGAACATGTATTATCCATCACACGCCAGTTCCAGAGGCAGAGCAGCTGACGACAACAGTGGCAGCAGGCGATGTGGATAATAAAACTATTAACTAATTAATGATCATAATATACATAGATAAATAAAAAGTGTGTACATGTGAGGGAGCACTCTATAAATTTTATAATAAAAAAGAACTATGGGTCGGTAGGTAAGGGAACCAACTTGACTACAGGTCGGGTGAGCACCCCCTGCTTAGTGAGAACCTTAGCTACTCGGACCACCTGATCTGGACCTGGATAGAACTCAATGATTCTACCCAGAGGCCACGTGAGCGGGGAACTATCATTTACCTTAATGATAACCATAGTGCCAACTTCGACGTTAGTCTCAGATTTTGTCCACCTACCACGAGCTTGGAGGGTATTCAAATATTCACGGGACCAACGACGCCAGAAAAACTGACAAGACTGCTGGAGGAGCTTCCAGCGAATCTACAGTCCCATATGCGTGTCAGCCTCAACGGGTTCCGGAATAGACATTAGAGGGCGACCAATCAAAAAATGACCAGATGTCAAGCATTCGAGGTCATTCGGATCAGGTGAAGCAGGTACTAGCGGGCGTGAATTCATTGCTGCCTCTACCCGACACAAAACCGTTGTGAATTCCTCCAACGTCCAAACTTGGGAAGACATGGCACGGATTTAACGGCCGCTTCCCAGATTCCTCCAAAATGGGGAGCACCCGGAGGATTAAAGTGCCATTCACAAGCGATATGACTATCTAACTGATCTCTTCTATCAGGGTGGTTAACTAGATATCTGAGCTGACGAGCTGCACCAACGAAATTGGTGCCACAATCTGAATAGATTGTGGTCGGTAAACCACGACGAGCAACGAACCGATCTAGCGTTAATCGAAACGAATCCGTAGACAGAGCAGTTACGGACTCCAAATGCACAGCTTTAGTAGTCATACAGACGAATATTGTAATATAAACTTTCACAATACGCGCCTTTCGCAAAATGACTTCTTTCATTTGCAAAGGCCCTGCATAGTCGATCCCCCCCATCGAAAAAGGATGAGCTTCCTGTACCCGGAAGCTTGGCAGAGCTGCCATGATAGGTTGTAGATTAGCAGCCGACATCTTTGCACAAATCAAGCATTTACGAATTACCCGATTGACTATAAGACGGATCCCAATGATCCAAAATTGCCGTTGAATAAGAGCGATTAGCAATCTAGGTCGAGCATGACAGGCATAGAGATGCCAATGACGAGCAATCAAAACAGCCAAGTAGGACTCTTTCGGGATCAGCATAAGGTGCTTTCGCCGCTCTGACCAATTTGAGTTCTGCATACGACCACCTACGCGAAGCAGATCAACCGGGTCTAAGAACGGACAGAGGTGAGCTAAAGGCTTGGATTGAATGGTAGTCCCTTTATGCAGATTGCTAACCAAGTCGCGATTATCAAGTACATATCAAGTAGCGATTCTGAGCGTCCTTAACGATAACATGCAGAGCTGCGTTCAATTCGGACTGCCTTAGGAAGCCTAGCTCGACACTTCTCTTTCGACACATCTGGATGAACCGAAGGACCTGAGCTGTCACTCGGATCATCTGGTTGAAAGACGAAAATCGAAGGGACCATTCAACGCGTGGTTCTACACGTGTCACCAAACAAACTGGCTTTGTTTCTGGCCAATGTTCCAAACTTAAGCATGAGAAATCTTGAGTCCAAGTCTCAACCGGAAAGTTCAAAAAACTGGGACCCTTCCAATAAAGTTTGCATTTTCGGAGCTCGGGAGGAGGGAGCCCACGCGAAGCGCAATCGGCCGGATTCATCTCAGAGCGAACATGCCGCCAGCTGCAACTAGGTAACGTAGACTGAATTTGGAAGACTCTGTTAGAAACGAACGTCTTATACGAGGTGTGCGGGTTGTTAAGCCAAGACAGCACAATGGACGAATCAGACCACGCGAAAACAGCAGACACCACCAACTGCGACTCAAGAATACGCTTGAGCCTACCTAACCATACTGCGAGGAGCACCGCACCACTTAATTCCAAACGTGGGACTGTCATGGCTTTCATTGGGGCTAGCTTTGTCTTAGCACCCATAAGGTAAACGGATGTAGCTCCGGACGGATCAGTCACGCGGAGATACACCACTGCAGCATAACCCTTTTCAGATGCGTCACAAAATCCGCAAAGACCGTAGCTACAACCAGTAGAGCTACCCAGATAACGAGGAATTCTAATTTCTCACAACCAACTCAGGGAATGATAGAAACCACACCAATCGTTCGCAATATCCTCGGGAATCTGACTATCCCAGTCAACCTGTGCGAGCCACAGACGTTGCATAATTGTTTTCGCATAGAAAGTTGATGGCGAGAGCAGACCTAGCGGGACGAAGATCCTAGCTATCATGGACAACACACCTCGCTTAGTGAGAATCAACTTAAAATTGGTAGTATAGAACGAAAAGAAATCACCCTTCGGATTCCAACGCATTCCCAATACTTGTACTGAATTGTCTTGATCAAAAGTCAGAGGGTCTCCCGAACAGTCCTCCGGTTTTAGATTACTCAAAAGCTCAGAAGAATTGCTGGCCCATTTCTTTAAGTCCAGACCAGAGCGGTCTAGCAACCGGATCAGGTTCGTTTGAAGGACTTGAGCAGCCTCTAGAGACTCTGCGCCAACACAAATATCGTCCATGTACGTTTGATTACGTAGAGCACGTTGTATATCTGGAAAATCTTCGCAATCTGTATCCGCAATATATTGAAGGACGCGCAGGGCTAAATACGGAGCACAATTTACCCCATATGTGACCGTATTGAGAGTATACTCCTTGACTGTTACTTGCAGTGAATCTTTCTACAAGATATGCTGATACCCTCTGTATTGTGGCAACACGTCAATCTGACGGTACATTTTGCATATGTCCGTTGTGAATGCCACCTTATGAACTCTAAATCCGGTTAACACGTCAACAATATCCTGTTGGAGCTTTGGCCCAACCAACAAGCACTGGTTCAGGGAAAGCCCGGAATGGCACTTGGCTGAAGCGTCGAAGACTACTCTCAATTTCACGTTGTCTCCTTCAGCCTTTTGGATCGCGTGATGCGGTATAAAATATTGACCGGCACCTTCTGCACGGCTCATATGACCTAGTTCTTCATAGTCAGACATAAACTTGCAGTACACCCGGTACAAAATCTTATCTGCAGCCAATTTGCGCTCTAGCTGGAGGAAACGGTTTAGGGTGACTTGTCGTGATCCCAGGAACCCTTCCGACATCCGCTCTGATCTGAACGGAAGAGGAACCGAAAACCGACCTTGACTGCCACGAGCGACCTCAGAGCTGAAAATCTTCTCGCACAAACCGTCTTCTGTGAACTGAGGTGGAGCAACCTCAGGTTCCTCTACACTCCAAAACTTCTCCATCATGGTTTCCATGGATGACACCAACGACACAAGCATGGATTGAGCCCCCACATCAGGATGAGTTTGAATAGGGCCGATCAACACCCAACCGAAAATGGAACTATAGACGGATGGGTAGCCTAGACCAAGCGACTCACTTTTATCGTTCCAAACTTGGGGAAAAATGTCCGCTCCAATGAGCAATTCTACCGGAGCTGACTTGTCGAACATCGGGTCGGCTAAGAACAAGTGACCACACTTAGCCCGAACTTAACTCGGTAATTGCCTAGCTGGCATATCCGACGTGATTGACGGTAGAACCCAAGTCTTAACCTGAATGGACGGCGAGGATCAGTTTCGGGGTTGAACAACCAGTTGGACAAGACCCTGTACATCCGGAACCTTCTGTCCAGATAGACCTGAAACCGGAACGGTCCAACGCGACGGTCGTAGACCTAGTCTGTCGCAGCAACCGGAGGTTATCGCGCTAATCTGCGATGCAGAATCAATCAGAGCTCGTACCGTCTTGAAGCTCCCCACGGTATCACGAACATGTACCAGAGCAGTACCTAATAGAACAGAGGGCGCTTCGTGTCGACCTAACAGAGCAGCTGGCGGAACGGGTTTTTTTGCGTTCGCATCTCGATGCAATAAAGCATGATGCCTTCGCTTACAAATAGAGCATGAAGCCGTGCACTTGTAAGACATATGCCCTTCCCCAAAGCATACCATGCAGAGACGATAGGTGCAGACGGTCTTGTAACGTTCATAAACGGACGCCGCTTTAAATTTGCTACAGTCAGACAACCGATGAGCGCCAGAGCATAAGAGACATTTCGCCTGTACAGGTTTTGTAACCGAAACCAGAGCCACCTTTGAATCTCGGCGAGATCCTTTCGTCTTCGGCTTGGTAGGTTTGGAAGAGCTTCTCAAGGGTCATACCCCTGCATTTTCAAGCACTTGCATTTGCGACTTGACGAATTTAATTACGCCATGGATAGAAGGATACTCTTCATGGTTTTCCGACTCGAATAATCGTCTAGAGGATGTAGGAAGATACCTAGCCGCCAACGAGAATAACAGAAACGACTCCAAGTCAGGAATTTGGAGCGATTCTAATATGGCAATGTTCTCGTCGAAGATCGACAGGAAAGCCTGCAGAGCGGCATTACTTTCTGAATTAGCGACAGGAGCTGAGATCAATTTATCAATTAACGATGAAGCCAACATGCGTGGTCTATCATACCGCTCGACCAAAGCATCCCATGCCAAGGTAAATGAATCGTTCGAAATAGTGAACCCCTCTTGCGGATCTTCATGAAGGCACCCTATAAGGGGGGTAGAACTTGACGATTCTGAGCGAAGACGGTCTGTCAGTCTATAATATTACTTAATAATTTAGTATATTCGACGATATTATTGTGATTAAAGTAATTTATTTTACTAATAAGTATTAGTACTACACGCAGTAGATTAAATTCATTAAAAAAAGTACATTTGAAAAGTCATTGTAGGTATAAAATATTATGTACTATACGCTATTATATTATATACTTTAAAGGTTTCAAGTACCCACGAATAATATTTTTAATTTACAACAAAATAACATAAATCATTATTCTTTGCAATTGAATCTTTAATTTAATTCACATTTGAACATAAAAAATCTGTGATAATAATTTTTTGATTTTTTAATAACAGAATAACCTACTTCCTTGGAACTTTGTTTTGAATTTTCAACCCTAACCTTCGAAAGTTGAATATTTCAAAAATCTTAAATTATAAAATTATTTGTAAATTTTAAATGATGTGAATTTTGTAAAAATTTAAACTTTAAATGCTCATTACAAAAATCGTACCTATGTATTTTAAATATTTTTAAACTAATATTGTAAATATCTATCAGGAGAATTGTATTGAATTTTCAAGCTTTTTTGAACAACAAATACAATTTTATTGTCAATTAATATTTTGTTAACATTTTATTAACCTCCTGACAAAAAAAAAACTAAATAAACTAAAAAAATTCAAAATTCAAATTGTTTGTAAACAGTAAAATTATATTAAGTATATGAATTGAAAATATAAATAAATGATATGAATTTCAAATATCTGCAATTATTGGATTTTCCATTATAAAAAAATAAGTAAAAACCACTATATGAGAAATGGAGTGAATATCCAATGTTGTCAAAATTTCAACTTCAAATGCTTATAAAAATTTAATTCGACTTTCCGGTAGAATTTTTTTTTTTGGTAAAGGCTTTCAAACTTATAAGGAATCTTGTATTAAGTTTTAAAAACTTAGATATAAAACGAAACATTTTTATGAATTTCTAACTCAAAATATTTTGCACATTTTCGTGACTTTTACTTATTTTGTCAAAATTCAAAATTCAAACGCTTATAAATATTTGGTGTCAAAATTGTATGGTTTATAGAAAACGCCGTTATAAGTATTCAGTAAAAATTTTATGTATTTCCACGGTTTTTTTTTTTTTTTTTTGAAAGTTACATGAAAAACCAAAATCGATTTTGTCAAAAATCGGGTTTCCGTAAAAATTCGCTTTTTTCCTTAATTTTCCTTAATTTTTTTGTTTGTTTTTCCTGCCGCTTTTGAAAACTATTGAGAATTTTTTACTTTTGACCCCCTGAAGTACCGATACTATTCACATTTCTACCAGTAAAGATGCTTGTTGAAGAAAATCTAAGCACTTTCACTCTCCCAAATCAATGTGATGACAGAAACAAAAAAAATAAAATAATAAATTGTAAAATCAAAACATTCATCGCTCCGCTCGGAATCTAAAAGAAGTTAAAAAGTTAAAATTGACATAACTTAAATTTTTTAACTCGTATACACCCAGGTTGGAATAACTACAAAGTTTTAGAATATTTGAACGCCTGTGTCTATTATTTCATTACTATTTATTATATTATATAAAGATACCTATACTAGTATAAAAGTTTATTTTTCATAATCACTCATACGAGGTGATTACTTTTTAGGATAGTGAGTTGACCTAGTGTCGGCCTGGCCATGGCCGCTGGGCCGGAAACGCGTCTGGGGCCCTCAGCCGTATTCGTGTTGGGGGGGGGGCCGCCCCCAATGGTACTCAGAAATATAAATATTGGATAATGAATATTATTATTACTAATATTATTGTATGATTTTATCATTTATAGGTTTTTTATTATTATGTATTTATGTGATAACTTTTGTTATCTATGTGAGTGATTATTGTTATCGTAAATAGTAGATAGTTTTCGACCTCCAGACGGAATTCCAGTACCATTAATGCTAATGTCCATTGAAAAGGATATTTTGATTGACTCAGATGAGTTGATTGATACGATTGCTAACTCATCTAGTGAACTAAAAAAATTACTGATAAAAAGAAAATCAAATGCACAATTAATTTTGAATTTGAATCACATTAAAAAAAATATTAAGTTCAAGTGAGAAGGTATTATTTATATTATGTAATATGTAAAAAAATTTTTAGAATAATATATTATTAACTTAGTGAATGGTCAATTTTATATATGGTACCTTTAAAAAATTATAATATTTTACACTACTTATAAGTACATTTTTAATAATTTTATGAAAAAACATTTTTGAGGGCTCTTCTGAAGAAATGTGTCCGGGGCCCTTAAGGTACCAGGCCGACACTGAACCACCCTGTGAACATTTTTGTTTTTTGGATACAACTATAATATAATGTAATATTAATATATTATTATAGAACAATGAAATATATATAACACTAAATTAATAGTGTCGTGTAACAGCTAACTTTGGATTAAAAAAAAATTATAAGTTATAAATTAAAATTGTGTCTTATGAGTAATCACTTATAACGGGTATTTCTTAATTAAACCGTATAATGAATATCTATTTCAAGTACTAAAAAATAGGTTATAATTATAAAATTACCCTACGATCAGGGAGCAGAAAAACGACGACGGCGAGCGGCGTTTGTATATTATTTGATCTCTCGTATTTTATGCATTTATCTCAGAAATAAAATAATATGTGTGTACATATGGGTAGTATATTTTTCATGAAATTAAATTTTTATTTAAAAAATAAATTTAAGCACCAAAAAAGTATGAAACCAAAATTAATTACTTTAAACATCGACGCTTTCGGGCTTCGGCAGAATATTGTGTGTGCACTGCGGAATAAATCAGACATACGACTGAACTTAGGTCTGAAAATATTGAGATTTATTATGAAAAAAAAACCGTACGGATCGCTTCATGTTTCTTGTTCATGTCTGCAGCTATTTTATAACTGAAATTTTAGATCGATTGCGTCTATGCAACTACTAAAACAATCGCCACGGATTACAACATAATTTATACTACGTCAATATGATAAAACCATAGATATATAGTATATTACAAAATTGTATATCAAGGAGGTCCGTGCTTGAGATTTGATCATTAAGATAATGAAATGAAGTATAACAATTTAACCAAAATAGTTTGTAATTTTAAAATTTAAATTACAACAATATATAAAGTACCTATCATTTAAATTTTTGTGGAGATCCTTTGAAATATTAAGGGGGGCTCAAATAGTTGGTAGCAAACAAACGCGTGGGGGATTCGCCCCCACCCCCAACACTTTTTTTTATATTTAATTACCCATTAAAATAATTAAAATGTTTTTTATTTTTAATAATTTCATGTATTATTGCACTGTTATAAAAATTTAAAATTTGAATGCTTCCTAATGTCTATTAATTTATTTTACAATTTGTATTTTAAATTCCTCTGACACCAATTATCATGCATTCATGCCTATGACCAGTAAGACCTATATGGGCTATATGTCTAAAAATAATTATCATTTTTAAACTACATTTTTTCTGCTTATTTTAAGTGGTTGTGATTTTGAATTTTGATTGCATATAATTTTCGTAATCAACGTCTTCTTTCTGCTGTTGTTACCAGAACCGTGAATTAGTTACATTTGCATGTTTTTTTTCGGTTAACTGTAAAATAATATGGATTTAACCAAAATTTGTTTTGATTATTTTCTATTTTAAATACGAAATCGTTTTTGCATATTTTCGGGTAAAGGCATATTATAATTGCATGATTTCACGATTTCTTCTTATGAATGGTTATTTTCTTAAAATGTTTTTATATTTTTTATCTGAATACATATAACCTAAGAAATCTATAATATGATGTGTCAAATATTTCTTTTTCTCAGTTGGTATAGGACAATTGCAAGATTAACTATATAATTAAAAAAAATGTTTTTTGAAACCATTTTTAATTATTGTTTATTATTTTCAAAAGATTTTTAAGAAATAAATTGAGCATTTTTTAAATTTTAAGTGTACCTACAATGAACATTTTTAAATTTTTCAATGCATATTTTAATTCATAATTTCCCTGTTCTTAGTGCATAAATGCATGCATATTTTAAACTATTTTAGTGCATTAAATTCACAGCCCTGGTTATTACTTTTACTTCCAATCATACTTTATTGTCACAGTAAATATTAATACTGTCTACAATCTACAACTTCCTCAACTTGATAACATTTAAGGGGATCTCAGATTTTTAATGCACCATTTATCTATCTCTGTGTCCCACACACAACAAAGACAATTTATGTTTAACAGAACCAACCATTGTTATATAAATAAGTGACCAGCCCTCACTCACCACTAGTAAGAACACTAAGAACTAAAATCAATTAAGTCAATTACAATTTGATTCCAAAATCTAAATCATGTATATTAGTGAAAGGCCTAGGGGGGAACTTATGCTGTCTAAGACTTAATATTTGTACAATTGTAGTATTTTACATATAGATTTTTTATGGTATAAATGTTTTATGAAGTACCTATATAAAATGTGTATGTCTCGTTGTGTTAATTTGTCTGAGATAGAAAAGTCTCCTGGTGATAACATTATTACACTTAGTTTGTTACACGTGGGTTAAAGAAAGAAACCCACAGAAAAATACCAATATTAGTGTATAGTCGAAAGGTTAGTATTCGTCGAAAAACTTGTTAATATAATACAAGGTTCCTCGTAAGTTGTTGTTACTGAAAATTTAAAAAAATGTAGAGCATAATTGCACAATCATTTTTAAGAGCTTTTTAACTTAGAATTTTGGCAAAATTCTTAAATATCATGAAAATTACCAAATTATTTTGGGTTAGAAATACATTTAAGTTTTTATTTTTTTATCTAAGATTTAAAAATTTAATACAAGATTCCTATTAAGTTTGTCTACTTTTATCAAAAAATAAATTTCTGCCGGAGAGTCAAATTAAATTTTTATGATCGTAGTAATATGAGTGGCAGTTCCCTTTTCAATAGATTTTCATTATCAGACAAATATCAAATATATTTGTTTATTTGTATCAGCAAATAAATGAAAAACCACAAACTCAACTTAAAAAATTTATTTTGGGTACCAACCCTTTGGACAGCAATTTCACCTAGATTCAAATAGTTGGCTTACTAATTTTTTAAATCTCATAATTATTTGAGCCTGTGGTTTATATAAATATAAAACATAACAAACATAAATGTACAAAAAAATATTTATTTCTTTAGCTATAACAATTTTAAATTCTGTTAGGTTAAGTAAATTAAAAATTTAACACAGAAGTTGTTGAAGAGCATGCCAATTGCTTAGTATGAGCATTTTCATTATCATCGCCATTGTTCAAGCATGGAGGAAGATGTAATTTCTAAATAAATAAATATATTTTTTAATTAGTATTTTGTGGAAAATGTCTGAGGGGAATTGACTATGTTTTAAATTTGGTATACAATTTTAAATTGTTATCATCAGAGCTCCGATTCAAGCTGTAGTTGCAGATATAAAATTATGCCTAATAAAATTTATTGTAGTAAATCTTGATCAGATTTGTTTAAAGTAAGAAATTATTTTTAATTTTTACTTAAATCATGAAATTCGTAGCTCTGGTAGTATGCATAATCATAATTATTAGATTATACCAACATTGTTCAGTCAGTAGGTACTTGAAAATACAATATTTATAATACCTCAATGCATAGTCTTTTTCTTGTGAGTTTAGTAGCCCAATCTACAGATAGAGGTTCATATAAAAATGTGTTAAATGACGCTAGTTTGCCAATAATAAGCTTCCCATTATAGTCCACACATGAACTTAGTTCTATTGGTTTAAAAATTAGTACTGTATCCACAAAATGTTCCATTCGACATTTAACCATCTGAAAAAAACAAACAAAAACATGAAGTTACTATGATGAAGCATGAGGAAATTAAATAAATAAATTCTTACATCATCAAATATATGAGCTCCTTGATATGTTACAAGACAAGTAGCATAAGAAGAACGCACAAGAATTCGAAGCTTGTACAAAAATGTAACCACATCCATACCTTCGGTATCCCAAAGTGGTGAATGCAAATTACTAATGGTTATTCTTAATGCACGTCTTTTTTCAACAGGAAATTTTGTACTAAAACCGCCAGAAGTTATAATTGTATTTAAGTTTTTTAGTAGATTGTAGTAACTGAGACCTGGAGGTTGAAACAAAAACAAGGCAATACCCACAAATTACTTACAGCTTGTATACATATATATCAATTAAATTGATTATTTTATAAAAAATAATAACTTGGGATTTTGTGGATTTCATTTTATAGTAACAAATGTACCATTTCTATAATTATCAGAATAAATAGTAAATTACTATTAAATTATTAAAAATTGTATTTGATTAAGTAGATAATTTTGTGAAAAGAGTAATTGTTCAAGTATTTTTTATGGCTGATAACACTATATTGTGGGAGTATCATAATTTGTGAAAAAATATTAAAAGTATCCAAATAAATACTTTCTGATTCTTCGTTTGGCCAATACCCAACGTTTTGTAATTCATCCACAGGAATTTTAGCTGAAATATCAAATGTATGTCCAAAAGATATTGAAGTATGGTGTGGTTTAGAGTCTTGTATAGGATTTTGCCTGTAGCGCCAAGCTATTTTAAAATCCTCAGCAATACTATCAGTTGGTTGAAAACTCTCTTCTTGAATTGGTTTTGGTAAATCATTTGCCTAGAACAATAAGCCAATAAATAAATGAATTTAAGTCTACTCAAAATACCAATTCAACCTAATTTTTGTCATTTATACAATACATAACGAATTAGGTAGTTGCTATTTGGAATCCTAAGACAGATTAATATTAATTTACTTATAAACCATAATAGAAAACAGAATAAAAAAAATATTACAATTGCTTCTGGTTTCTTTTCGATATCCGCAATTATAATAGAATGATCGCATACAACTCCTTCAGCTATAAAATGTTTTGTAACCAAATCTGCATTTCGGCCATGACTTTCATCTTCTACATACAAAAACAATAATAACAGTTAAAATATTATCCAAAAGCAATAAAAATATACAAACGATTCATACATAAAAATATATTCGACAGTAAATAGTCATCATCATAATATTATGTCTATACTAGGTCAATAGGTATAGTATACAAAATAAAAAGTTGCAACACTTACCAATAAGAGCCACAGTGCCTATTGGAATACCACCATCTAAACAAATCGAAGAGAAAAAAAAATCTGTGATGTAAAAATTGGTATGTATTTAAATAAAAAAAAAATTAAATAATTTAAACAACATATTTATCATAATTCATAAGCAAATGTAGAATTTGTTCATAGTCAATTTACTTACCTAAAACAGCATCCAGCGATACTATCCCAGTAGAAATCAAAAGTTGATTTTTGGTCACTGAAGTTTTTGTACCTTTTAACTTTAAACTTTTTCTTTGGCTGATAGTGTGTGACTGCAAATTCAACGACATAATGGGAAATATAGCTGGTTATTTCAGCTAAGCAAACCAATTAAAAAACATAAGCATAAATTCTACACTTATTGCAAAGTATATTTAATCTGTGACATTAATATTAATAAATAAAAGAAAAAAATAGTCTATCTACACCTAGCCTAACAATTGGATACCTATGTAAGATTTTGATTTTTGATTTTTGAGTAATTATTTATTCTGCATCTAAATACTTTTATCATGCCAAAGTAAAAACGTTTACTCATGAGTCATGGCCAGTATAATTTCTTAAATACGAATATCCGATGCTTAAATCGTGAATCGTGATCTTACTATTTTAGTTCGTGCTTATCACTTTATTATCACAGATTAGTAACGTAGTCTGTGGTATTATAAATATGATAATCAGCTACTATATGGTACCATTAACCAGGTATATTGGAAGTCATTTATATGTCACGACGTCGTCACGTTGATTTAGTAATGGAAATGATAATGAATTTATTCTTAAATAAATGAATTTTGTGCAATAAAAACGTCAATATTTAATAACCCAAGACAATAGACAAATTAAACATAAACTATTTATATATTGTATTGAGTATTTAATATTTAATATTTATAAATTATAATCGAATTTATTGAAAGTTGAGTGATGCAAAAAGTAGAAGCTCAATTAATGTAACAATCGTTTCTATTCCTGTGTTACTTAAGTTCAGAATAATGTCGAAAAATCTAGGTGAGCTACAAAATTCTTATTTAAATTTTAAGTGTTGTACTATTCATATTGTGCTATGGTTAAAAAAAATTGTTTGTTTGGTTTAGTGCAATGTCAACAGCACCCAGATGCCCCATTGATTGAAGATTACAGAGCTGGCGATCAAATATGTTCAGAATGCGGGCTTGTGGTCGGTGATCGAGTGATAGATGTCGGTTCTGAATGGAGGACGTTCAGTAATGACAAAGGCAGCAATAGCGCTGATCCTTCACGTGTTGGAGGGGCAGAAAATCCATTGCTCAATGGTTCTGATTTGTCAACACTGGTCGGTCCTTCTAGGGGCGACGCATCATTTGATGAGTTCGGTGGTATGAAGTATAAAAATAAGGGTATGGTTTGTTCAACCAATCGTTCGCTACTTAATGCGTACAGAGAAATTGGCCTTATGGCCGATCGCATAAATTTGCCAAGGAATATTGTGGATAGAGCCAATGTGCTGTTCAAACAAGTGCATGATGGCAAAAATCTTAAAGGTCGATCAAATGACGCGATTGCGTCAGCTAGCTTGTATATTGCTTGTAGACAAGAAGGTGTGCCACGTACATTCAAAGAAATATGTGCTGTAAGCAAAGTTAGTAAAAAAGAAATTGGAAGAGTTTTTAAATTAATATTAAAAGCATTGGAAACCAGTGTTGATTTGATAACAACTGGAGATTTCATGTCAAGATTTTGTTGTAACTTGGGATTACCAAACATGGTCCAGAGGGCAGCTACTCATATTGCTAAAAAAGCAGTAGAATACGATATTGTACCAGGTCGTTCTCCTATATCCGTAGCGGCCGCAGCAATATTTATGGCGTCCCAAGCATCTGATGAAAAACGTTCACAAAAAGAAATTGGGGACATTGCTGGTGTTGCAGAAGTCACAATTAAGCAGTCATATAAACTGATATTAGCTAATGCTACTTTACTATTCCCAGAAGACTTTAAGTTTGTGACCCAGATTTCTGATCTTCCAACATCCTAAATATTCCTAATAAATAAGTATTATTCAACTAAACAACATTTATGAAAAATCCCACAAATATATTTTTCATAATTTTACTGTACAATTTATTGTTATTAAGGTTTGGACTAAAAAATAAGAGACTAATATATTGTTTGTATTTTTATTTTTATAAAATAAACAAATATTTGTCTTTTCTACATAATGTATTTTCTATGTAAATGGTACAATACACGAGTAGTACTACTTTATACTTAATTAACTAACATAATTTATCTTCTGTTAAAAGTTTTAATTTAATTTTTCCTATTTAAAGTGAACCTCTAATCTATTGCTAACCAGTAACCATTGACTAATTTAAATAACTGAACAGAACAATTATACTAGTAAGTCATAACTTATAAGACATGTTTTTAAATTTAGTATTAATATAACCTAGGTACAAAAGAAGCAGTGCTCTAGGCAGAAAACTGTGTGGTGTCAAAATTTTAACTTCTTATCCCAGCAAAAAATATTAAAAAATAGTGATATAGTGTCTACAGTAGGACTTACTTGTTGAGCCAAACTTGCCAGAGAGCATTGGTTTGCATTTGTGTGTATTATAATGTTCTACCATTGATTAAATATACAATTATATGTACATATTATAATTATAATTATAATTATTTTATTGTATATTTAATCAATGGTTCTACCCTAAAAAAAATGCATTTGTGACAAAAATAAAAATGTGTCTTATATGTCAAAGACCTAAATATTTGAAAAATGTTCATAAAAATATTAAGTCAATAAAATTATTTATTGCTTTAAAACTTACAATTTATTAACATACGGTGATTTTGATTTAAATGAAAAATATTTTTGAGAATTGTTTTGTTATAGATTGGTAAAATTGAATTATTCTGTTTCTGGAAAATTATAACGATAATAGTTAACTTATAATTATTAAAATAATTATTAAAAAAAAAACTAAAAAGGCAGGCAAGTGGGTAACCCCCTGTTGTACATTAGGAGTCAAGAAAAGTGTTAAATTTGAATTCAATGTACCTATACGATAAACGATTTTGAATGAAGATGGTGGTAAGTCACCCTATAATGTTACTAAGTGTAATTTAAGATATTATACTATTAATTATTATAATGATTAAAATAATTTATTTCACCATTAGGCATTAATACTACTATAAGTTAAATTAGTAGGTTCTTCAAGTAGGACTGTACTACTTCAGACCAGAGAAATCTACTCTTACATGTAAACTATATTTACAACACTTCATACTCGAGTCATTTTAGGATAACTGCCAAATGGATGTCATCTATACAGACTTTGAGAAGACCTTCTACTGTGTCGACCATAAGTTACTCACGGCTGATTTAGCCTATTTATGTCTTAATAATCCTCTACTGTCGTCTGTCCTGGTTATATTCATAACTTACATATAAGTACCAATTTATTAAAATTCTTGGCTTTGCATCAAAGTCAACATTAGTCCCTTCAGGAACCTCCCAAGGTGGACATGTATCCCCTATCTTATTTAACTTATTAACGGTATCTCATCTATTCTAAGAAAAAGCCACTTCCTATTATTTGCAGATGATTTAAAAATTTACTATCTTATTCCCTCAATCAATGACTGTTTAATTCTCCAAGAAGAACTAAACATATTGTCAAAGTGGTGCCATGTTTGGGGAATGAGCAGTATCACTAATAAGTGCCATTTAATGTGTTTCTACTGGTCCTATGAGCATAAACAATTTACTTATTACATAAATAATAACAAACTTAATTCAGTGTCATCCATAAAAGACCTGGATATAATCCTAACCCACAACTTTAATTGCCAAGATCATATCGAATGTGTGGTAAAAAAATCATTATTAGTATTAGGCTTTGTAAAACGCCATTCATCTGAATTTAAAGATTTGGATTCTTTTTAATTACTTGCCTGCACATTAATTAGATCAATCGTAGAATATGGATCAACCATTTGGTGTCCCTATACTAAATCTAATATAAATTGTATCGAAAGAGTTCAAAACCGTTTTTAAAGTTTATAGCTTTCAAATTCCATACAACTATAGTCTATAGATCAGCGAGACTCCTTCTAAACCTCCCTACTCTAGTACAAAAATTTTTATGAACTTTTAAATCAAAATAATTTTCAAATTTCGGTGATTTTGACAAATTTTATCAAAATTCAAAATTCAGACGTTCATACAAAAAATTATTATGGATTTACCTTCAATTTTTTTTAATCTTCCCTAACAAACTTATGAGGGAGCTTGTATAAAATGTTCAAGTTCTATGACTAAACAATTTTTTATCGACATGAATTTTAAAAAAACTAATAAAAATCGAAAATATCCTATGCCTATTTATAGCTCAAAATCAGTCAAAATATTTTGACGAGTAAAACATTTTTTTAAAACATTGCATATGTTTATGCAATTTTAAACTTTTGGTGAAAATTTCATCAATCTTCGGTAATTATTTTTCGAGTTACATTAAAAAACAAAATCGATTTAATTTAAAAATGTTGATTTTTTCGTTTTTTTTCTGACGACTTTGAAAGCTACTGGGAATTTTAATCTCCCGAATGCCCCAAATTTGATCCATTTTCCCACCAGAAGATACTGAAGTTGAAAATCGAAAATTCGGCTACATATCATAGGTTATCTATATTATAAATTGTCTATTTGTGTATATTGTGTAAACTGATCCGAAAAAAAAACGCACAACATTCTAAAATCATGGCTCATCACTTTCATCGCTCGGCAGAAAAAAAATAACCTAAAACATCTGAAATCACCATAAAACTTTCAAAAATGACCTAAAAATAAAGTATAAATGAGAATTAGTTCCGGAGATCGTATGTTATTGAAACACGTCATTTCAACCTAGGAAAGCAATAGTCTATGATGCTCCAAGAAAATATGCAAAAGTCGTCATAGCTGGCAATCAATAACTGATATAGTGATATCATTTTTATAGTTTGACACTGTAATAAGTTGGATCGTTGACGAAAACCATGCTGAGCAATTTAACGAAATCCAAACCAAATATTTTTAAACCATGGAATCTATCTATTGAATCGTTAGAACGGGATTCTTTGAGGGCTATCATGGTTCTTGAGAAATCGAAAAGATGTAACAAAAAATAGGTAACACCTATTTAGCAGATATAATTTTGACGAGGGGCCCGTCCTGGCAACACTGGGCCATCGCAGAATTATAAAATTCCATATCTATTTTTTACACAGATATATTCTATTCATTTATTCTATATATCTGTGATTTTTTATCAATGGAAAATCGACAAACATTGATAAATGATAATGGGTGATGGATGTCCATGCGGCAATCATGGGCATGTGTCTTTCACGCATTGTTGATTGTATATAAACATATAATAAAATTTAAAAATCTGTAACTGTCTTGTTCTGTGTTAGGCTCACAAATCCACGTCTTACGTGCTAAAAGCCACTGCATTCTAAAAATCGTACATGAGAGAAATAAAAACGTTTTAATTATTTCATTAGTATATGCGCTGAACAACCTGCAGTTGTGATGGGTTCGTTTGACGTCCACAGGGTAAATTTTTTTTCACCTGAACTACTGTCAATCCAATGCATG